TTAATTGTTTGAATTAATTATGAGCAAAATTAATTAAAGTTTGAGAAAGGTGAAAACTAAGGCTATTTATACATTCGAGAAATCTATGTTTTATGACTAATAATATAAACATTTGGTAATAATGATTCTTAACGATTGTCCGAATTAATAATCGTTAATTGTTAATCAATTGATAAGACTTTAATATGTCTCAATTTGGTAATCGTTGAATGATAAGATGTAATATGTCCCGATCTGGTAATCGTCGAATGATAATCATCTCGGCTAATGGTGTGATCCGTTCGTCCGTCACACTGATGATCGTCGGCGTCGTTTCCGCTGATCTCCGTCGCACGCGAGACTCGTGTTGAACCATAAGAACATGTCGAATTCAGGCTAAGCTCAAGTCAAAGTATACTTTAAATTTTCTAGTTTAACTTGCTTAAACGAGCCAGCTAGATTATATAATGATATTCTTATCAATCTAGGTTTTAGATTCCTAAAATGCGTTAGTTTCGATGTATGTTCTATAACTCCGGAAAAAAAAGGAACACTACTATCTTGCTTTGTTTAAGTAAACTATATGCATGATTGTATTATGTATGTCAAATTTAGTATATGCAACACTTTTTTGCATACAATGCTAGTCCAATATTGTTATAAAGCAGCAAGATTGGCATAGCGTTGACAAGGATGCATATTTCCGAGAAATACTAATCTAATATGCTTTTATCGGATCAAGTTCCACGTCAGGTGGCTGGTTGAAAATTTTAGAATTTTCCGGAAGGGAAACTCTAAATAAAATTTAATGGCGTAATACTGCCACAGTTTGTTTTCCGTTTCGCCAAAAGACATCAAGTATTAGCCATCATTCGATAATAGTAGCACAAATGCGGAGAGTTGTCTCAGTCGAATAACTAAAAATTATTTTTTAAATAAAACAATTAATATACGAAACGAATACAACCTTTTTTTTATAAAAAAAGGTAATGCCTCCTTGATCTTTGAATCCTCACTGAAGACTTTTCAAGATCATTATGTCATACTCATTGATGACAGAGTCAGGGGAAATCCAATTCATTATGAATATTTCTTCCGAGATGGGAAGCCCTGAAATCTCATTTGAAGATGAATTGTCCAATAGTCCTCCCTATCCATTAACACTTAAATTCAATGAATTAATCGCACCTTCAAAAACATCGCGAACAACAAGAAGACATGAAAAAAATCCCGATTCATTACCGCCACCAAGGCCTCAAAATGCTTTCTTTTTATTTCGTAGAGATTTTAACGAAAAATTAAAGCAAAGAGGAATAAAATTGAAATTTGAAGAGTTCTCTCGTTTGGCAGGCAAAGAGTGGCGCAAGCAACCACAAAAAGTTCGTTGTTTTTTCGAATTTCTCGTTGATTCGGCTAAAAAAAGACATCATCAAATATATCCGGACTACACATTTTCGACGAAAAGATCGAAAAATAGAAGGGATAAAAAAATAAACAACAAATCAACCGACTCGTACAAAACAACAATCAAACACCACCACAATATCAATTAATATAACCAAATCAAGACATATTAATTGCGCAA